AATATTTCTGTCTTCTGGGTTGTTGCGCTGTGTAGTCTGGTCGATGTTAACCAACGTTTCTGAGGTCATACTGCCTCCGTCATCAGGACGATCGCACAGCGCAACAACCCAGAAGACAGAAATATTCATTCTCACCGCTGTGAAAACCTCACATCTTATAAGGTCTATAGATATTATTAACTACGAGTATTAATCTACACGGTTAATTCTTAAAGAAATATAATGTATTTCAGAATCTAGAATATTAGGCTGTGTCTGCATTGTGGTTAGCTGTGTAATATTTGATTTGTATTCGCGAAAATATATAAACATATTGGTCAATGGAATAAATGTTGTCGTAAATATTTCATTTGGTATATAAGTGAAGGTACTTCACTGGAAAGCACATTTTTACTATAAGCTAAATTAAAATAGCTGTCGACCTCACTCCAAACATTCACTTATACCTTGCAACACTTTCTGGAAAAATTTTAGTTACTGGAAACATTTATACGTCATTATAGGAGACGGAAAATTTCCATTCGCTTTCATGACTATTCACAGTTGTAGATTATAAATATGGAGATGTAACGCCATGAGTACGGAATTCTACACAGCACCAGCGCAAACATTTCCACTGGATTATATTCAGTTTCTGTGTAATTACCCGACATGTAACGACGCCTTTGTGAATTCAGTATAGGCTGTTAGGAAAAGGAAAATGTTAGGTACAGTAATCCGTAGCTACACGATACACCAATCCACTTCAGATTAAAGGCATCAAATGAAGGATGATTATGATGTGGTGGACAGAGACACACGATAACATTTATACATTTCAGTCCTGAAACCTGAAGGAAAGAAAGAGCCCACTTGAGAGATCAGACATAGATGAAGTATATTAAATTGGTTATTAAAAATATGACGTGAATGTATGGGACGGATTTACCTGAATCAGAATAGAAACTAGTGGCGGACTTTCGTGAATATTGTGATCAAACTTCGGGTTCCATAAAAGGCGATGAATTTATTTACCAAATAAGGGACTCTTAGTTTTTCTTTAAAAAAGGGTATCTGCTTCATTGGGTTGATGAGTAAGTTTTAGAACCGATAATATAATTATTTTTAAAAAATCCGCCACTGGACATGCACAAGCCATTCCGAAATCGCAGGAGGGTCGGTGTAATGCACTACCAAAACGCCCGTAACTAAGAAACAAATGCTAATTCGATGATGCCGGCTGGCACACTGATTCACTATGAATGTAGGCCGCACCCCCTAGCGGCAGAAGCTCGTACTACATTCGGTTCGCTCTCTATTGACACAGTCTTGAAACTTTCCGATCGCACCTCGTATATATGTGTTTAATGAAAGCGTTTGTGAAAGAATTTTGGGATAAGGTTTGCGGTAAAAGAAAAGTTGACAGGTCCGGGGTCAGCGTAACCCGAGAGGTTGTAGTATTGGTTGACCTAATAGGGAGAGATCACTTGCAGATGTAATAAGGCAAGTTAAACGTAAACTTTGTCTACGGCACGAAGGTTGCAACCTACTCCTCGAAGGTAGATGGCGTAGTGCATTTAGTGACGTGGTTCATTTCGTCATTAGAAAGTTACTAGGTTATGTTTTCAACGCACTTAAGCAGAGAAATATTTCCACGAGTTACATTAATGGTCACTTGGTTTTATCTGAACTCGTGCGACCACGAGGCCTACACACGTTAATTACTGCTGTCATAAGGACCCGCTTTCTTTATAGGATGTCCCTCAACTTCCGAGGAGCGGGAGCTTGAAACAGGACAGGAGAAAGAGGTCTGTGATGACCCTCAACCTCAGCGGCGCGGCGCATGACTTCCATGGAAAAAGGTACTATATACACCAGTAACTTATATTTATATTTCTTTAAATTAAATCATGAATTATGGGCGACTGTTTTACAAAATGTAATGTACTGTTTAACTTTAAATTTGATTTCGTAAACATTTGGAGACATGACAAAAAGGTTTTTTATTAATATGTTTCCATCTATGTCTAATCTTCCAAGTGGACTATTTCCTTCAGGTTTACTGACTAAAATGTATAAATTTCTAGTCAGGTTAAGTGTGAACTATATGACCCCTATACTACCTATAAATTACGTTCAGTCACTGCAAGTAATGAACACAGTAATATAAATACGTCGTTTTCCTACTACTGTGATGCTGAACTAACATCCCGTTGGCCCTCTAAGATACAACAAAATTGTCGTGACGTCTGGTAAGACACTGTGCTTTCTACTGAAGGTTCTCCTGCCCCGATATCAAGGTGAGTACACCTCACCATGGCGGAGTTTTTACGATCGAGATTCCTGAGTCCCGGAAGGCATCCAGGCTGGAGGTTTACGAGCCACAGGAACACAGGAATGTGGCCTATCCCACTACGTGAGTACTCAGTCACGTGTTCATAAAACAGGCTATATCAGCAAAGTTATTACCTACAGATTAGTAGAAAAACCCGGATTCAGTTCAAGGAAAGAATAGAGCTTGTATTTGATTACGTCAGGATACTGGGGTCTTCCCGACCTCGTATGGAAATTGTGGGCTGTTTCCTATACAGTAAAGTGGCCGAAACGCGAAGCTAATCATTCACATGGCGCTGTGGTCAACTCTTCTTGAGAAGCTGATAATATTCACGGCTAGTTAAGAAATTTCCAGTTTTTTATAGAACCATAATATTCATTGCCGTGTTCACAAAATCCCATCACTTGTTTCTATCTTAGCCACGTGAATTTTGTCCATAACCTAACAACCTATTTTCCTGATAATCATTTTAATATTATCCTCCCATCTATATCTACGTCTTTCGAATGTTCTCTCTCCCCTTCAGACTTCCCAACCAAAATTTTGTACGCGTTTTCCATTTCCCCAGTTCGTGTTACATCAGAGGCAGATTTGTGTGCTCTGATCTTACCGATTCGAAGTGCCCTATTGTTTATCTTATTAAGATTATAAAATAAGTCTACAGCAAGGCGGATTAGAATGTAGCTATTCGCGGTAGAACTTCCAAAAATACACCTCACCAGTTTCTTAGTGAGTTTGTAGCAACTTCTCAGCTCCCTACGTCACAATCCGCTTCAATCCGCTGTTGAACCGACAAGATCTTGTCAACTCTAGCTAGCAACTTCTTTGTTTCCCAACATAAAGATTAAGTGATGTTAGCAATGTTTACAGTAATGTGTTGAAGTCTGTGCACGGTAGACTTTGTCCGCAAAATATTGGTGTCAGAACTGAGAAATGATAACAGAATAATAAATAATCCCAATTAATTAAAAAACGTACATAGATACATTTATCAGTCTCATCGTATCTTGTACACGAATGTTTAGTTGTGTTAAAGTATCTCAGACCTACGACGTATAGAAGTAAAATTTGTAATTATGTCACAGACTGTACATGAAATTGTAATTGCTGTCGAAAGATAATAATCAAAGCGAAATTATACTCAGTCACTTCCTTGTCACGCTTTCTATGTGTACATGCGTACAAGTGACGGAGCGTTCGTGTTAACCGTGTCAACCCGGCTAACAATTTGAATAAACGAAAAATAAAAATTCTTGTCTTACTTTCGTGGTTCAATGGTATGTCACCGTCCAAATAAAGTCTATCGTCAGCCACCTCAAGCCAGGCATTTATAAGCGTTGTTAATAGCAACATCAGCTGGCTAATTGACAAGGGTACCCCATTCTTCAATCATAAAACAAATTGGCCCGCGGTCTAGTATCGTAATAAGCAATGCTACTAGCGTGAACGGACTAGCGCCTTGTGGTAAGTGCAACAACGCGTTCTCTCCTTCAGGAACACGGAGACGTTACTGCATCTACTCAAGGGCAGCCTTGGAACTGGGATTCTGGCCATGCCGAATGCCTTCTACAGGGCGGGATACGTGTTGGGAGCGGCAGGCACATTGTTTATCGGCTTCGTCTGCACGTACTGTATTCACCAGCTGGTGAGTTAATCTGAGGTTCTAATCTAATGAAATAAGCAAATTAATAATCATAAAATACCTGCGTCACATTTTATTTACGAGGTGCGATCGGAAAGTTTCAAGACTGTGTCAATAGCGGGCGAACCGGATGTAGTACGAGTTTCTGCCTTTAGGGGGTGCGGCCTACATTCATAGTGAATCAGTGTGCCAGCCGGCATCATCGAATTAGCATTTGTTTCTTAGTTACGGGCGTTTTGGTAGTGCATTACACCGACCCTCCTGCGATTTCGGAATGGCGTGTGCATCAAATTTTGCCAAAGACTCGCCAAAACGGCTACGGAAACCTATGAAATGCTAAAGCAAGCATTTGGGGAAATACTTCGAAATGGGTCGTGCACAAACTTTTGTGAGGCATTCCGACGTCGTACCATCAACGACTTGTGCGACCTTGTTGGGATAGGCTATGGGACCTGTCAGCTGATTCTAAACGAAGAACTCCCCATGCGACGCATCATGACAACGCGCCAGCGCACACCGCCCTCAAAGTTCGGTAGTTTTTGGCCTCAAACACTATGGCCGTCATCCCGCACCCTCCTTATTCGTCGGATTTAGCTCCGTGTGACTTCTTCCTCTTCCCACAGATGACAATTCAGCTAAAGGGAAGGAGATTTGAGACGATAGAAGAGATTCAGGCAGAATCGCAGATGGTGCTTGACAGGCTGACAAAGAAAGATTTCCAGGGATGCTTCCAGGCTTGGCAGCGGCGCTGGGATCGTTGTGTTCACTCCCAGGGGAACTACTTCGAGGGTGATGGATGAATTTAATACCTGAGATAAGTGAACGGGTTTTTATACGCGCAGTCTTGAAACTTTCCGATCGCACGTCGTATAATGAGCTAATATCAGACACTGAACAAGGTCCAAAAACCCATATCGCATTTCACCATCGTCAAAACCATTCAGAATCTAATGATTCATAAAACTACTAGGATGAGTCTCTTATTTTTGAGACACCGTGTTATCAGATTGAGTTACTGTGACGGAGTAGACAGATGGCGCTCGCTCGAAATGTAAAGATGTGACCCGTAATTAAAAGCAACTTCGCACAAGGTCCAAACTGTTACTGTACCAGCCAATTTAAAACGCAAGACGTTTAATTGAAGAACTCAGATGACGCGTGGTTTAAAGTAGGCGTTAACCGCTGTCATCTCCTGCGTAGACCGTTTTCGTAAGAAACGAACAGAAATGCCAACTGTATCGGTGTACAGTGCCTTATTGACTCTCCAATAGAATAACCGATTTACGAAATTCGGTAAGAAAATTATGCCACTGGAGATGATCCTGGAGATAGGTTAGTGTCATCGTATACACAGATGAAAACTGTCCACGTGGTATTAAAATAATAAAATGGCGTTCACCTGCAGAATGAACTTTTTTTTTCGATTCTGGCAAATCATCTTAGTTAAACGAATATTGCATTTGAGTTTATATCGAGTATATACCTGAAGATGGTTCATTGAAAACCGAAACATGTCGTGAAAAAGATGATTCTCTAGTTGTAAATCGAATATTTCGATAGAAACAGCATCATTTTAATATATTTTAAATATTGAATGTTAATTGTAGTAATAATGTTTTAATATTTTAATATTTAATAAAATATTTTATTGTGATTAGACGATTAAAATTAAACAATTATAATCATCACAATATGACGCAAAACTATCATCTTAGTTAAAACGAGTCAAATTTGGAATGAAAAGGATTTATAATTTTGTCCAAAATCATCTTACAAGCAT